AAGGCGGGAGGATTACTTGAGGCCAGGAGTTCGAAACCAGCCTGGGCAACAGAGTGAGACCCTGACTCTACAAAAAATACAAAAATTAGCCAGGCATGGTGGCAGGTGCCTGTAGTACCAGCTACTTTGGAGGCTGAGGCAGGAGGATAGCTTGAGCTCAGGAGCTTGAGGTTACAGTGAGCTACTATGACACCACTGTACTCTAGCCTGGGCAACAGAGCAAGACCCTATCTCAAAAAAAACAAACGAAAATGAAAAAAAAAGCTCCAAGATTTCAATCATGTGAACTGGTGCCCTTCCAATAAAGACTGTTACCCAATCAGATGTTTTAGTTATAGGCATGCCTGCATATGCACATACGTAGGTATACATGTGTATCTGTATTTACAACTTTTAGTTATGGACCTCAAGTTAAACCCTAGAAATTATCATGAAGAGAGAGAGTTCACTCATGGTTGAGAAACTTTAGACATGTGTTCCCCTAAATCCATGAGATAAATGCTTATCCTTTACAACACTACTCAGATGGTTAGCCACCTCTGAAACTTTCCTTATCAGTCCAACTTAGTCTCTTCTCTACAATTATATGACTGTATTTATAGCTCTGGTCTGAAATGATTTGTTAATAGCCTATTTCCTCCAGCAGAGTATGGGCTCTGTATGGCAGGGACCATGTTATAATTATCTCTGTGTTCGCAGCACTGCACATAAAAAACAGAACCCTCTGAACTGCTGAACCTTTTGAACAAAGACATAATTCAGCAGAATTTTCAGACAGCCAATCACTTCTGCAAATACAGTCATTAGCCGCATGACATTTCGGTCAACAGACCACATGTACATACAATGATGGTACCGTAAGATTACAATACCATATTTTTACTGTTCCTTTTCTACGTTTAGATATACAAATACTTACCATTATGTTACAATTGCCTACAGTATTCAGTATAGTAACATGCTGTACAGGTTCACTAGCAGTATTGTAGGCTATACCATCTAGATTTGTGTAAGTATACTCTGATATTTGTACAATGAAGAAATTGCCTAAGGATGCATTTGTCAGAATGTGTATCCCCATCATTAAGAGATGCATGACTGACTATACCTCACATTTTAATGCCTAGATATTCTCCTCCCATGCTATAATTCTCATGAATATTAACAGCAGAATTATATTAAATTTTACTTTTTGCTCTTTTTTTTCAACAGCAATTAGGCACATACTAAATGAAAATGCAATTTTAGGGTCAACTTTTGAAAATGATTGTTCTTACATCCACTTACCACCGTATCTACCCAAATTCTACACAATATAATGTAACATAAAACAAATAAGAACATTAAATAGCCCAAGGCACTTATTAAAATTTTTTTAAAAATTACATTTTATTGTGTATATTTAAATTATACATGATATTATGAGAGACATAAGTAGTAAAACGGTTACCACAGTGAAAAACATTAACATATTCACCATCGCACATAGTGACCCAAACCCATTAAAATTCTGAAGACTAATGGTCATCCTTTGATGTTTAAGAGAGAATATTGTTATTCTTCAGAGTAACTTGTTACTTCTCAGTTGACATAGACCAGAAAAAGTACTTTGACGTGTATAATTACATTTTAAGCAACTTGACACAAGGGCTTTTTCTTGGATTGGAGGAAAAAATTTTTCTGCACATGAATCCATATTTATAACATATGGTTACATGAAATGAGCTTATGAGAAAATATTTATATTTTGTAAGTTGTAAGAACATTGTAAACACTGAGTATTTATGATTTGTGAGCCAGATATTAAACAGAAGCATCCACAAAGTACAACCTACTGATTCACTAATAATTTAACTAGTCATGGTCACCATCAATTGATAAGAAAAGTATTCTACTTTCATCAAAACACAAATATTGCAAAATGACACACTATAACCTTCTGCCAAGAGTTCTTTTGTTGACAGTTCTACGTCCCTGATCAGTCAAAGGCTCACCTGACAGGTCCAGCTCCTCAGTGGAAGACAAATTGGCCAGACTCCAGCTGTCACTGCGGGCTGCCAAGACAAACTTGTGAGCACTGATGTGCCTGTCCCCAACCTTGATCTTCAGATCACTGATGAAGAAAAATATACAGATACAAAAAGAAAAATGTCATCATAACTCGGTATAGTTAGAATTCACAGCTGATAAATACATGAGTATTATTGATCAACATGTATCTGCAAAAGAAAAGAATTCACAGTAAAATTATGTCTTTTTTGGTATCAAATCAGGGTAATTGGGGTACCCATCGCCTTGTTCATTTACCATTTCTCTGTATTAGGAATATTCCAGTTTGACTCTTTTAGTTATTCTAAAGTATACCCTAACTTATTGTTGATTATAGTCACTTTGTTATGCTATCAAATACTGTTCATTCTATCTAATTATCTAACTATATCTTTGTACCCACTAACCATCCCCACTTTATCCCCACCTCCCGACTACCTTTCCCAGTCTCCGGTAACCATCATTCTACTCTGTCTCCATAACATCAATTGCTTATATGAGTGAGAACATGTGAGATTTCTCTTTCTGTGCTTGGCTTATTTTACTTAACATAATGTTCTCCAGTTCCATTCATGTTGTTGCAAATGATAGGAGTTCACTCTTTTTTATGGCTGTATCATATTGCATTGTGCACATGTACCACAATTTCTTTATCCATTCATCTGTTGATGGACACTTAGGTTGATTCCAAATCTTGGCTACTGTGAATAGTGTTGCAATAAACATGGGAGTGCAGATATCTTTCTGATATACTGAATTCCCTTTTGAATATATACCCGGCAGTGGGATTGCTGGGTCATATGGTAATTCTATTTTTAGTTTCCTGAGGAACCTCCATACTCTTCTCCACAGAAGCTGCACTAATTTACATTCCCACCAACAGTGTACAAGGGTTCCCTTTTCTCCGTGTCCTCAATATTTGTAGCAAAATTATTTCTATATGCTAGTGCTGAATTCTGATGGGTCATATTTCTAATATGCTGTTAGAAATTTTTCTATTTCTAAACTTCTAGCTTTAATTCACATGGGCTGCTCTGCTTTCAAATACAACTTCTAATGGGATTCTTATGGTGGTGAACCTACAAGTAGGATGATTAATATTCATATAAAAAGTAGAAAATATTTTATGTAGAATAAATCGAGGTAAACCATCAAGGAAAGAAAGATGGAAAGCTGAAAGGCTGTGATGACAGCTCTGAGACTACGGTACTGCTACACTCCACAGCAATGCTCAAGCAAGGTTAAACAGAAAAACTATGAACAAATCAGCTTTGACAAAGCAGTCAAGAATATGAAACTCAAAACCTGGACTCCAATTTTCACTAGAAACATTCAGACCTAATATTGATCATTTTTTACTCAACCACTTATAAAGAAATGGGGTGGGGAGAAATCTTCCTTTTCAAAACATGTTTCTGTATTTATGATGTACCATTATATAAAAGAGCTTCCTGAAAAGACATTTATGTTTAACTCTGAAATGTCAAATGCTAAGGGAGGAGAGCATCTGGGCAGTTAACAAAAACGTCAAGATGACCCACCGAGCTGACACATGTGCCATATGGCTATGTTGGCAGCAATCCAGTCATTAATTATCATCATCCTGCTTGTATTAATGTTATTTATTTTCATATTTCCCTTAAAATTATTTATTAGGTTGGAAAGCCTTTAGAAACTAAATACACAGAAACTATTATATAAAAAAAGAAAAGAAAAAATACTATTACATGAATTAACCCATCCACTTAAAAGGAGACCCAAATAGAATACTGTTTCTATATAATGCTTGATAGAGATACAGTTTACTCCACAAAAGTACTGTCTAGAGCACACTTAATAATCACTTAAGAGGATCAACAATTCCAGTTCTATTAAAGACCAAGCTGTAACTAATTATATTAGATTGCAAGATTAATAGACTATTACTTCTAATTGTTAACTACTATTACCATGGAACATTATTCATCGATAAAAAAGAAAGAGAATATTCTATTTAAAACAGAACATAAAACTGTCTCAAATCACATCCTGTGATAAAGTTGTAAAAATTTAATGAAAACAGGGAGCTATCTACAAAGCACAAACAAATTTTAAACTCTAAATACACTTATAAAGTATCAGATTCTAATAAATTGATTTTCACTGTCTGAACTGTTTCAGCATATGTCCAACTTTTAGCCACAAAATTATAAAAATAAGGGTTTCTAAAAAATTCACAAATGTCAGGTCAAAATTTTTTCCATCTTTTGTAGTCCAACATACCAGAAAGAAATAAAGACAAGGATTTCATTAATAATTTCTAATTATAATTTCTAAAAATAAATCAAAAATGGAAAATCTGACAAATGAAGTCTATGAGGACTCTATGCAGAAACAACCAAGGGCCTACTAATTTTTTTAACTTCATTCCAGTCAATTAAAGAATTATTTCTTTTTAAAATATGGAAACCATCTTAGCACATCCAGGGCATTAAAAAAAAAGGGAATCAGGATGTTGTTACTGAAGAGGAGGATAGATAAAGACTTTCTTGTTAAGAGTTTCTTTAGGGCCAGGCGTGGTGGCTCACGCCTGTAATCCTAGCTCTCTGGGAGGCCGAGGCGGGCAGATCGTTTGAGCTCAGGAGTTCGAAACCAGCCTGAGCAAGAGCGAGACCCCGTCTCTACTAAAATTAGAAAGAAATTAATTGGACAACTAAAAATATATAGAAAAAAATTAGCCAGGCATGGTGGCGCATTCCTGTAGTCCCAGCTACTCGGGAGGCTGAGGCAGGAGGATCGCTTGAGCCCAAGAGTTTGAGGTTGCTGTGAGCTAGGATGACACCACGGCACTCTAGCCTGGGCAACAGAGCAAGACCCTGTCTATTAAAAAAAAAAAAAAAAGTTTCTTTAACACTTCAATAGAAAAAACTATAAGCTTGGTTGATAAAAGAATGAATACAGTAAAAAAGTACACATAGCCAACATTTTTAACTACAAAAGTCTTCTCCTGAACTTAAGTATATGTACCAGTTCCTGCCACATTTCTCAACTTAAAAATCTAAAAACCTGCACATCAGTCACTCCAGTTAGATGGAGATGTGTATAAAAATACTATTTAAATTCTTTAACAAAATGCATCCTATGGGATAATATTTTTTTTCCCTATCTTAGTAAAAGATGTTTGCTTTAGAAATTGATTTCCCAATTTCAGGTACCCCAACTCAAGGGCTCAGACCCCCGTGAAGGTTCTATTCCCCACCTGATATTCAACTGTAGATAAAAGGGTTTCAACCTTCTTTAGATAAAGGGCAGGTTTTAGAAGCCAGAGAAAGATCCGCTGGAATCATAAGATCATACCACAACTGACTAGGTAAAAAGTGACCAGAAAAGGAAATTGCCCAGTCTCATTTCCACTGTCTCCTAGAAAAACTACAGCACGATGAATGTAAAATAAAATTATTTATCAATTGATAAGTAATTGAGAAAGTAAATGATGAGAGTTCTAACAGGGAAGAGTCTCACAGAGTAGGAGAAATGTGTCTGTAACAGAAATAAGTCGGGTTTCCCTGGGCCAGGAGGAAACAAAGTTTTCACTGGTCCATGGAAAAAGAGGGGGGAAAAACCATTAACTACATTTTACAAGAAACTGCATCTATTCAATTTACAGAACTGTCCTTTACTCAGAATATATATTTCCTTTCTTTTGGTATTAGATGTTTCTTTTAAAAATGCTTAAGATGACAGGCGGTAGTTCTGGATTTTGATTTTTTTTTTTTGTATTTTTAAAAATTTTAATTATCCTGAAACTTTAGAAGGAATCGATGTATTTTAAATGTCATAATTTATTTGGAAATCTTACTAAGTCTTATCTAGTCCAAGCATCCATCTCCCCATTAGCCCAAATCCTTCCTTCTGTGTATATTCACATTTATGTTTCTTTTCCATGTCCACCATATCCCAATTCAGAACTAAATGCAACATCACAGGTACTCTCCCTGTTCTTTTCTCTTTACTGTTTAACCTATATGACAATACCAGGTTAATCTTCCTAAAACATCACTTTGATTATGACAGTCCTAAAACTCAAAAATATTCTGCTCTGCATTTCCTAGAGGATAAAGTCCAGATTCTTCGCCTGAGCAGCCCAACGCAATCCACTCTATCTTTTCTACCTCTCCCACTGTTCCCCTACATGCACATGTACCCAAAACTAGCCCCCTCACTGTCCTCTGAGCCCTCTGTATTTTCTTATCTTTGAGACTTTTCTCTACTCATAATATCACTGTCTTTACCTATTAAATCCCACTCTTTGGCCAGGCATAGGTGGCTCATGCTTGTAATCCTAGCACTCTGGGAGGCCGAGGCAGGAGGATCGCTTGAGGTCAGTAGTTTGAGACCAGCCTCAGCAAGAGAGAGACCCCATCTCTACTACAAATAGAAAGAAATTAGTCGGGCAACTAAAAACAGAAAAAATTAGCCAGGCATGGTGGCACACGCCTGTAGTCCCAGCTACTCGGGAGGCTGAAGCAGGAGGATCGCTTGAGCCCAGGAATTTGAGGTTGCTATGAGCTAGGCTGATGCCACAGCACTGTAGCTTGCGCAATAGAGCAAGACTCTGTCTCAAAAAAAAAAAAAAAAAAGAAAAGAAATTAAAAATAAATAAAAATCCCAGCCTTTGACATCTACCTCAAAACTCTAACAACTGAGCACTTACTATGTGCCATGTACTGTTCAAAGGGCTTCACATGTATTAATATTTATTAATTTAATCCTCAAAACAACCCTCAGGTAAGTAGTAGTAGTAGCCCCATTTTATACATAAGGAACCTGAGACATGTCACAGAGATCCAGGTCACACAGCTAGTTAAGTGGCCAGCTGAGCTTCTAACAGAGGCTCCAGAGGCCAACCTCAACCATCATGCAATACTACTGCCCACTAGTTCTAAGACTCTTCCTTTGACCACTGCGAGATAAAGTGACCATTCCCCTTTAAATTCCTAGACATGTAAGCCAACTGCAGCCTGCATTAACAATGCTATCACCATGACTCTGACACTCTTTACTGAAGATAAGCAGTAAACAAGAGAGACAAAAATCTTGCCTCAACGAGCTTATATTCTAGGGAATAAAGATTTGCTAATATCCTGATTAGAGGGAAACAAATTTGGGAAGAAAGCCAATGAGAAAGGAACAGTTGTAATGTGGCCCAGGAATAAAGCAAAAGGGCTTACTTCCCCAAACTAGCCCTGTGTCCAAGGAGCTCACCTATACTGCTCCTGCTCATAGAGGTCTGCCACGATCATCAGCAGGCGGCTAATGAAGGACTCATTGCTGCTTTCCTTGTTTGCTTGCGCAGCCAAAAGAGTGCATCTCTTCTCTGTCTCTGCCAATTTCTTCTGCAGCTTGACATACTCTTGCCGGAGAAGCATCAAGTGCTTCTCCAACTTGGCCACCTCCTCTGTAAAGGAAACAAAGAGTCAAGTTTATCATGGCAGGTGTAGAGCAGACAGCATTCACTATTCCCTCATCCCACACAGGGGAAAGCTGCCTAAGTGACTAGCCACATGTTTCTACTATATCTCAGTGACAGTCCTACAGGACCAAGAATGGCTTTGTTTCAGGGTGCTGGTCACTGGGTCGAGAAGACCATAATGGTATGGGGATTTCTCCTCTCAGAAGCTCAATATGCAATATATAACAACAAAGAGATATACACAAAGATACTGACAGGCACCAGCCCTGTAAATCTTTGACCATAAAGGCAGGAGTCTCAAGGAGAAGAGGCTAACAAAATCACCCAGAAAATTTTTTGGAAGTAAGTCATACTCCACAGGTGTGCTGGGGCAGATAAAAAGGTTGAGAACCGCTATATTTGATTCCTTAAATTCAACAAACATTTACCAAGTATCACCTAGGTGACATACTGTACAAGGGAAGCAATGCAAAATCAGACATATCTTCCTCAGAGCTTTTAGTCACCGAGAAAAATTAACATAAATCAAACAATTTTTATTATAATTTATAATTATAACAACTGCAACAATTAAATGCAAAATTACAATTCTACTTTAGAGTGCTAGAAGGAAACAACAGAGCTACGAGAGCTTATAAAGAAATTTAATTGGCTAGGCGTGGTGGCTTATGCCTGTAATCCTAGCACTTTGGAAGGCCAAGGCGGGCGGATCACTTGAGGACAGGAGCTCAAGATCAACCTGCACAAGCGTGAGACCCTGTCTCTATAAATAATAGAAAAAAAATTAGCTGGGCATGGTGGCATGTGCCTATAGTCCCAGCTACTTGGAAGGCTGAGGCAGGAGGATCACTTGAGCCCAGGAGCTTGAGTTTGCAGTGAGCTATCATGCCACTGTACTCTTGTTCAGGTGACAGAGACCATGTCTCCAAAAAAAAAACAAAAAGAAAGAAAGAAAGAAAAAGAAATTTAATTTAGGAGATCACAGAAGGCTTCCCTGAGGAAGTAAACAGGTATGAAACTTCTCTCCTCCTTCGCTGGTGTCTTGATAGGGGATGGGATAGGGGATTCATGCAACCACACAAATTGGCACCTTTATAAATCAAGGTCTCTAACTATGGATTCACAGCCTTCCCACTCTTGACCACCGCCACTCCCCAGGATTCTATCCTTGACCTTCTTCTCAACCATATGTACTCCCAAGGCAGACTTGACAAGGTCTCTGGTCTGTGGCTGATACCACAGGCTAGGTGCCAGTGATCCACTAGGCCCAGTCATCCTCTGGGCCTTGATCCCTCCATCCAGGCTCCAAATACCATCCCTCTCCTCTGCTCCTCAGGACTTTTGCTTTATCATCAATCTCCCTCCCTCAGCAACTTCAGTCTTTCAACTGGGTGCCCAGCACATAAACCTGTTCAAGTCTCTATCTATTAAAGCAAAACCCCCTGTCCACACCACCTCTGACATCCTCTGCCCTTCCATCTCTAACTACCACACACCATTTCCTCACCTGCTAGTCACCTGCCATTCCCTCATTCTGTCTCCACCATTCCCTTGAAATTCCTCTTACCAATGACCTTCTAATTGCTAAATCCAATAGATTCTTGCCAGTGGTTCTCCTCCTGGACCTCTATCACGCAGAATGACACTGTTGTCCATCCCTCTTTTCTTCTATTTCAGTAGCCACAGCAACCACAATGCCACCTTCTCTCCAATTCCGGTTCTCTGTCCCTTTCACATGTTTCCTTGCATCTGTCTCCCACTCTTGACCACTGCCACTCCCAAGGGTTCCATCCTGACCCTCTTCTCTACCATATGTGCTCCTAAGGCAGATCTGACCAGGTCTCCAGTCTGTGGTTGATACCACAATCTAGGTGCCAGTGACCCACAGATTCATCTCTCTAGTCCAGATCTCTCTTCTTCACTTCATCTACCCATCTTCCCAACAGAAAGCTCTCCCTAGCAGCCCACAGGCACCTCAAACTCACTATGCCCAAACAAAATTTCAAGCAAATCTCTTCCCTCCTGTGGTTCCTATACTCATAAATGACACTATCATCCATCCCAGTTATCCAAACAAGACATGTGATGTCTCCCACTGACTCACACACTTTCAGCCCTACCCCAACACTTTGTCAGCAAAAAACTATTGATTCTCCCACTTAAACGTTTCAGGGAATCCTTCTTATTTTCCGTACCCCATTCTCCACTATGACTTTAATTCAGGCTCTCACTCATCTTATTGGATCTCCTACAATGTGAAAGGATTCACGTCAGCATCTCAGAGTCTGACACAGGGCCTGATACATAGGTACTCACTATTTAATCAGTTAAGTAAAATCTAGCGTTTAAAAGAGGATTTCCTCCCTCTCATCTTCATCTCTCCCCCACCTGCTGCCCAATAGCTGATTCTGTATAAACATAGAAATAATCAAAAACTGGTTCAAAACAACACAAGAATGGTTAAATAAAGTAGCACATGAATTTGAAGTTATTATGCAACCATTAATGTTTTCAAATAAATATGTAATGTTAAATATGCATATTTAAAGAATAAATATTTTTACCAGAAAAAAGCAGGCTGCAAAACTACATTTTATAATTCCAACATTATATTTAATAAATATCCACATATAAGAAGAGTAAAAAGACAAACTGAGTATCACAAAATATCAGGAGGTCTCACTGAGAGGGGATTTTTCTTCTTTGTACTTTTCTGTATATTTCAGGTATCTATAACCAGTATGTCCTGCTTTCATGGTAAGAAAAAGTATTTTAAGAGAAATCTGTTTAGGCAGGGTACAGTGACTCACATCTGTAATCCTAGCATTCTGGGAGGCCAAGGCGGGAGGATCACTTGAGCGCACAAGTGTGAGACCAGCCTGAGCAAAAGCAAGATCTCGTTTATACTAAAAATAGAAAAATTAGCTGGGCGTGGTGGCTAGCGCCTGTAGTCCCAGCTACTCGGGAGGCTGAGGGAGGAGGATCACTTGAACCCAGAAGTTTGAGGTTGCAGTGAGCTAGGCTGACGCCACGGCACTCTACTCAAGAGCAACAGAGTGAGGCTCTGTCTCAATTCAAAAAAAAAAAAGAGATAGAGATATCTGTTTAAATACTAATAGACTATCTTCTTCATACATATAGTAGGGAATTTTTTTTCTCTTCTTCTAGAGGATCCACACTAAATAAATGCCTGGAGTCAAAACCTGGATTGCAAGTCTCAGGTATAAGTCAATATTCCTGGGAAAAAAGATTTGAAAAGCACTTATCGGATGAAAATTTGCTTTTAGCTGCTAAAGTGATCACTGTGTTCACGAGTTACAAATCAGATGAGAATTCCAGTAACAGCTGTCTTTAAAAAAAATACTCCAATTATTTAGCCTACTAATAGTATATTTAAATCAAACATTGCTTTAAAAAATGTTGGCTAAACGAAAACAGTACTTACAATGACCCTACTGTGATGTTTTTAAAATCTCAGAATTTACAATTACACCAAACCCCCTGGGTAAAATCAGCTCTAAGCTTTTATTCTGATGTGACAAAAATACAGAGGTCACTGGTCTTAAAGGGTTATTCAGAGTGATTCAGACTAAAGAGCCAAAAAACTGCAACTATTTACCTCGAAGGGGGAGCACTTAACAAATGGCAATAAATTCACGTGATGGTACCAAGTTTACAGTCTCTTTTTTTCTGGATGGAAAGAAACGGAGGTGATTGGCCTCTTTAAAGAAAAACTAGCAGTGAATTTCTAGGTATGATAATAGAAAATGGAAAAAGACATACAATTAAGGCTAAAATTCCTTTCAAAAACTTCTAGCAAAATGAATCACTTGTAGCAAAATCAATCTATGGTGTCAAAAGTCATGATAACGCTTATTTTCAGTTATTATTCCTTTAGAGGAACAGCAGGAGAGTGGTAATTAGGAGAGAACACAGGATGCCCTCTTTGATAATGGCAACATTCTTTTTCATTTTCACTTAGTGGTGATTACATATATATTTCATTTTGATAATGCATTGAGCTCTACACTGATGATTTGTGCTTTTCTGTATGTATGTTATGTTTTGATTTAAAAGTTTTTTAAATTTGATATACACCTGTACTGGGTTCTGGAGTGAAACTGATGGGGAACCAAATCTTTTAGTAACTAGCTATGGCACCATGGACAAGTTCACCTCTCTGAGCTTTATTTCTTTATCTGTAAAATAAGGGGAAAACCTACTTCTTAATGCTGTCGTCAGAATTAAATGATAACTACTGTGACCAGCACATGCACTCAAAATTGCCAGCTCTTCCTCCACCCTCCGTGCATTCCACGGTTATGTAATTATTGGATAAACAGTTTAAACTATTATAACAGATTACACAACTTTTTTTAAGTCAGGAAAAGTAGAATGGGATTTTTTTTTTTTTTTTTTTTTGAGACAGAGTCTCACT